GGTCTAATATATACACACAGCTTTATTGACATGTGAACTGTTTGTCTGGATGATTTCATACTTACATGGTAGGATGAAAATTCCCTACAAAAATAGGTAAAAAGTCAAGTCAGAGGTTTTTAGCTGGAGAAAATAAACAAGAGTCTACAATTTACCCTTCCCCTAAAGTTAAACTAACTTCTTCTGCCAACAATAACACAACAGAACTATATTAACAGAATTATATCAACACTTCTTCTGTTTCAATACTAAGTTCAAGCATCTGTTAACAACTTATTGCTTGTTGTTGTTGTTACTTGGCCAGATCTTTTATCTGTATACAACCTATTCATGCCGGAGTTCACTTTCTTTTCAATACTTATTTACTTTTCCCACACTCTGCTTCTAATTTTCTCTCTTTCAACACACAACAATTTGACATTTCTTATAGGCCCTTTTGTCACGGACAGTTTTCTCCTTGGATCCTAAGTCTCTTCACAAATAGTTTCTTTACTAGAGCACTTCTTTCTGTGCTAGATGTTATAGCAACAGAGAGGTAATACCTGACAAAAGAAACATGGTCAGATCAATTCATGCACAAAGGAAAATGCAGGAACTGTCTTTTTTTTACCCAAAACATGCATTTTAGGATTTTGCAAACAATGGACGAGAGGCATTGAGTAAGTATATTAAGAAATTTTATGGAAATTAGTTTATTCACCATGGGAGTAAAAAAGCAAGCAAACAAAAAAACTTGTTACTGCCCAATTCAGCTAGCAGGGAGGGAGTTGCATTTTTTTTTTTAAACTGGTGTGCATCAGCATATAGATTTCCCTTATCACAGTGGAATGGCTTGAATTTTGACACCACCTCCACTTTATGAATATCCTCTTTTCCTTTCACTTCCTAAAACCACCAAACTTTGACAATCCTACCTCCCCCTTGACAATCAGCTCAGCCAACCTAATAAACACCAGTAAGCAGCTTGTAAAGAAACAGCATTAGAGCAGCAAGTGCTCCCTGACTTGATTCCAGTTTCTGCCTCTGAAGACACCTGTTGACTGTCTCTTCATCCCACATGGCAACTACACTGTCAAGTCATAATCCTGATCCATTGAGTCTTTCACCTCTCTCTGCCCTGTGGAACCAGACAGGAGATCCTGCAGAACCACATCCTTGGCACCTTACAAACTCGGGAGCAGAGCTTCACCCTCACGCAGCAGAACCGAACTAATAGCAGTGATTTGAGCTTTAAACATATCAAAGGTAAGCAAAGTAAATACAAAGCAGCAGGCATCGTAGCTCATAACAGAAACAAAAAAAAGGAAATTTTCTATATTAACACTGGAAACTCGACCTGTGTGTGTAGCCCTCGCTGTGGGCCTCAGAAAGGAGAGAGATTTCTTTGAACACCTGCGTTACCATCTCTGATTTGAGCGTGCACATACTGGGCTGAAGCAGTGATGTTGCAACCAGCACCTGAAATGGCTAGATTAAAACCAGTCCTGGTGTGCCAACAGCAGGCTGCAAGCACACCCCTTGTTAGAGAAGAGGGGCTGGCAGAAAAGAGAAGGCAAGAGATCAAATAGCTTTCTGTAAATATTAAAGAGTAAGTTGCTCGACAGTGATTGACAGTGAAAACAATCATCAAAGGTGGATTCAGCAATTCCCGTACTTGCTAACGAGCACTAACAGCGAATCAGATTACATCAGAGGGGTTGCAGCACCTGCAGAGACTGTCAGACAGCCCCATGCTTTTTTCAGGTCATAAACCCTCCCAAGCATGCTCTCAGCAGCCCCACGTTTATTCACAAAACGTGATGGTGCAAAGACCCCACGAAGGGCAGCCACGCACTTCACCATTTCACGTCCACAGTCTCTAAATGGGTGTTTATTGCCTGAATGTCCCGGTGACAGACACCTCCCTGAAGCCTCGGCAGAAATTAATCTTTTTTTTTTTTTCTCTTTGCCCTGCCCCTACAGTGAAAACCACGAAGTCAAAAGGCTGAGTTTGAAACACTCCCAGGCTTCGAGCTCCCTCTGCAGTATTTTGCAAGGAACGGGTTTGCCTCGAGAAACCTCTTGAGTGATTGGGTTAGGAACTGGATCATTCACAGCACTTTAATTTCTGGGAAACTTCCCCTGAAATCTGAGCTGGCTAATAAATCACTTCCATTAAGTTTTATTCTGATGTGGGGCGGTTATGATCTGTTGACCTTGGCAAATACTTTCTTTGCTAAAGCCCCGTGAACTGCTTTCAAAGGAAATAACCAGAGGAAAGCGCGTTGCTCGGGTATTTCCATCTGTGAATGTGTCAAAGCAGAGTTAACGGGTCAGATTCAGACATAATAAAAGGGACTACTAAATCACTATGCCAGGCATTAGGAGGAAGTTTAAAAGCATTTAAGTGATGATTTATATCTTAATTAAATGATGGTTTGTATCTTTCACGTTTGTTCCTAATTTAGACTCCCTCAGAATTACACTGATGTATGGAATTACTTTCATGCCTCCTTGTACATCAGTGCTGAATCTGGCCACTAAGTTCTTGTGAAACTATGAAGATCTCAGTTGATGTTGCTTTTAATTGCATGTCAAGGGCTAGAGAATAAAGGTACAAATTACATTGATTTAGATTTCCTTCACATGGACTTGCCTCCGAATTCGGCCGGCTGCCATCGCCGGGCACAAGCTATGCTCCATGTGATTTGCTTCCTCCTGTTTTGTAGAGTCATCCTCCTTGGCAAAAGGATTTTATTTAACTGGATTTTATACTTCTTCTATTGTTACTAGGGCTTACATTTGCTTTCTAAAATAATCCACGTGCTGCAAATCTATTTCTCCTTGGCATCACACTACTCTTGTTATTAATCTTCTTTCCTGCTGTTTAAAGCATATTCAGGGCTGCAGAAAGAAAATGTATCTCTCAAGACAGGCACATCCCATCCCAGCTCGAGTTCTTAGTGACAATTCCTCTCACTATTCACCCTACCCTGAGACTCTGCAACAGGTTAATTCCCTCCAATTTGCAGCATTTAGGGACTACACAAAAATCTTTCTTTTAAACCTTTTTTTTTTTCTCTATTGCATCTGAGAGACTGGGAGTAACGTGTACATTAACTGGTTTTTAAGGTTTGCGTGATAAGATCCCCTGTCATCTTTCCTGGATGAGGAACATAAGGGAGGGGAAAAAAAGGAGGGTGATGGAAGACACAAATTTATTGCCAATTTTGGGATTGTCTGGTTAAAATCAAAGAAAATATTGCCTTGCTGTAGCAAAGGAATGATGTTAAGGGAATGCTTACTTGGAAGAGACGAGGCTACCCAATGTTCACATAATCTGGGAGGAAGAAAATCTTGTATTCAGTATAAAATATGAATTTTTTTGTATCATTGTGCCCACCGTTGTGGATGCACAGATGAGCTTTGTGCCTGTAGCCAGCTCTGCACACTGGCTTTCTTGATCACGTGTAAGGCTAGCTCTGTCTAACAGACTGACACAGGACACTGAAAATCTAGCAGTTCTATCTAAGGAGGGTTTGTGCCTGTGGGAGTTTTAGACATGTTTTGGGAGTAGGAGTTGTTCCTCACATCGGAATGAGAGACTGGAGAAGGAGATGCAGAAAATAGTAGAGCTTAAGCTCGTGTACTCAAGATGGCAATCATTTTGACAAGGACTGCACGTCTATTTGTGTGTTGCAACAATAATAAATTAAAGGCTGGACTGGGAACGGTGTAGTTAGGTGAATCAACAGGCCAGTGTTCAGAAAAGGAAAACCCTGAACTACCTATACGTTCCGTGAAGAAAAACCATTACATATTTTTCTGAGCTTTGAGGACGAAGAAATGATGGCATGAACTTGAACTTTCCCATTTTTGAAAAGTTCACAACCTTTCACCTTGTGTAAGAATTGCCTTCAAAATAACAGGACGTAACATTTGCCCTTTGAAAGGTCAGGAGTTACTTCATGCCACAGTTAATCTTTGTCAGCAACTAAGCCCAGGCTGCAAGCCCCGTGTTTCCAGGGAAAGGCAGGGGGGCTCAGGCCGGGAGGGAGGGAGGGAGGGCAGCGGCCACCTCCTCAGGCAGCTGCCAGGGAGGGCCATGGTATGAACAGGAGCATCTCCCTGGGAGCGGGGCTCTGATGTGGCCTTTCTTGCTCTTTGTCAAGCAAGTCCTTTCATCCTTGTACTTCCTTTTCCCTTTTTGCAAAAAAACAATAATAATAATAAAAAAAATACCAAAACCTAACCCACGTAGGTTCAGGTGCCTCACAAGAAGGTAAATAATTCTGTATTAAACACGGAAATTACAGTTTCCTCAACTTAGGGCTCAGCCAAGGCTGAGGTGGAGGGACTCGGCCCTTCTCCTCCTGCAGCAGGAATCATAGGATGGTTAGATTTGGGAGGGACTTTAAAGATCATCCAGTGCCACCCCCTGCCCTGGGCAGGGACACCTCCCACCAGACCAGGTTGCTCAAAGCCCCATCCAGCCTGGCCTTGAACCCCTCCAGGGATGGGGCAGCCACAGCTTCTCTAGGCAACCTGTTCCAGTGTCTCACCACCCTCACAGCAAAGAACTTCTTTCTGGTATCTGATCTAAGTCTCCCCTCTTTCCATTTAAAACCGTTGCCCCTTCTCCTTGTCACTACACTCCCTGACAAAGAGCCCCTCCCCAGCTCTCCTGCAGGCTCCCTTCGGCTATTGGAAGCCTGCTGTAAGGCCGAGCTCGGCTCCGACACACTTTTTGTATTCGGAATCATTAAACAAATCCGTTCCCCTCCGAGGGGCTTATTGAGCACTGCAGGGGACTTAAAAGCCCGGCGACGGCCGGCCCTGACAGGACCCTCTCAGCAGCCGCCGCCATCTTGGGGGAAGGAGGGGAAGGGGGGAACATGCCGCTGTCACGTGACTTCCGGGCACGGCGGGCGGCGCGCGGGCGGAGGGTCGGGGGACAGCGTCCCGCCATCGCGGCGGCGGCGGGGCCTGGGCCAGGGCCGGGACCGGGACCGGGACCGGGCCGGGTTGGGTCGGGTCGGGTCGGGTCGGGTCTCCCCGCGCCCTCCGGCCTCCCGGGAAGTGAGTCTGTGAAAACAGAAACGCAGTCCGCCCCCGGAAGGCGGGGACGGGACGGGCCACCGCCAGCCTTCCCGCCCCGGGGCCTGGTGGCGGTTTGAGGTGTAGGCCCTGGGCACCATGGATCCCTTCTTGGCGCTGCTGAACTCCATCTCCTCGGCCTTGTCGGGCGCTGATCTCGCTGCCATGAAGTTTCTCTGCCGGAACGACGTTCCGAAAAGGAAGCTGGAGTCTGTGCAGAGCGGTAGGGATCTCTTCGTCATCTTCCTCGAGCAGCGGCTAATTGCAAGCGACGATGTAGCGTTCCTTGAAGAGTTGCTTAAGAACATTAAAAGGGAAGACTTGGTCTTACAGCTAAAGCAGTTCGAAGAGGAAGGGGAAGTCAGCGCTCCTGATGATCAGCCAGATGCACATGACAAACGTAGGTGGATTAATTTTTCAATTTCCTCCCCTCCCTGAGGAACCCCGGTAAATTTCTAGGGTTCTGGGTATGCTGAGAGCAGACACAGAGCACGGCTGCCCTCAGCTGCCTGCTGTAGCAGAGCCCACTGCTAAAGGTGTTTCCGTTGCACTTGAAGCGTGTCGCACCCTAGAAGCATACCAGGAGGGCAGTATAGACTGCAAACAGCTTTCCGGGGTGGAAATTTCTGATTTCTTCACGTTTTTTAATCGAATGGTCACTTGGATATCCTGCTTTGTGCTGGGAATTCTGACAGTGTGCAGTGGTTTTTCAGAACATGGTGTGATTTGCAGTATTTGCGATGCGGCAAGAGTGGTAGCAATTTGCTAAAGAAAAAACCCCACCACCCTAACTTAAAAAATTTCTTGTATTTCTTAGCAAATCTATCGCTAACATCATACATTTCTGGTATTTCAGGTCTTCAGAAGGCAGCTATTGAAGTCATATGTGAGAATGTCGGGAGAGACTGGAAAATGCTGATGCGAAAACTTGAGCTTTCAGAAGTGAAACTGGACAGAATAGTGGCAGCCAATCCATGCAACTTGCGTGAACAGTTGCATCAGTCCCTCAAAGAGTGGCAGAAATGGAAGGGAAGAAACGCGAAGGCAACTGACTTAATAAAAGCTCTTCGGGACTGTAAGATGAATTTGGTGGCAGACAATGTTGAACAGAGACTCTTGGAACTGAACACTGAAACCAGGTGAAATCGATACAAAAACACCTCCCTCTCCCACAGATATGAATGGCAAAATTGAAAGTGCCTTCTACTCCTCTGTGCCTCTACTCCTACCAAAATCAATATAATTGGTTCTGTTACTTATTCGGCCATTCATTTCTGTGCATTAATAGGTTGATTTCTGGTCAGATTAAGATTAACATAAACCCGAATTCCTTTCTGGTAATGCTTTGTAGTTTGATGCTTGGTTTAAGAGATTTTAACTTAGAAGACCTAAACTCATTTTTCTAGAAATTCTCAAGCTTTTGTTCTGCCACCCACCTGAAAACAAGATTTGCTTTGCTGCAAGGACTTTTCAGATGTATCTTCTCTGGAAATACATCCACGGGACATGTCTGAGGAAACTGTAATTTAAAATTTCATGGGCGGGATTTTTTTTTTTTTTAGTGGCTTATTATAACTGTAGCATGAAGCACAGAAGCAGTAGACCTGTTAGCTGTCTACTGAGGGTTTTTTTGAGTAGCATAAGATAATATATTCTGTAATTGGTCAAATACACTTGCTCTCTGTAAAAGGATACTAAGACAACTGTAACCTCAGGCCCTAAGACTGCAGTGTAAGGGAGCTAGTAACTATGGTGGTGGCTTTTTATTGGCAGAGAATGGGCCTAGGTTGAAAATTAACCAGTTGAAATCAAATGTCTGTTTCAAAGTGCCTTCATCATCCTGAAGGAAATGTTTTCTTGAAATTATGTGTCTCAGATGTTTACAGCAGCCTCTTTTTACCGCTGTGAATGTTTTAAGGTTCTTTACTAGGAATCCTTTCATAGCCTTTATCACAGAGCCTGCTCATGTCTGCTGGAAGTTGCAGCTCACCTTGCACATAAGCTGCAGTTATCTGTGCTCTTGGGTAAAAAAATCTGTACTGTAACAAAAACCCAAGAAAACAAATTGGGTTCTTTTTAGTGGAGGGGTGTGAAAAGCTACTGAGAGCAAAAATGTAGTACTGACTTTCTTCTAGTGATACCCAGTGAAGATCAGTTGTCTTTCACCACAGTTTGTTCTCTTCAAAGATCACTCCAGATCACTCCCAGTCCTCTGCAGTTTTTTTAGTTCATTCCTGTTCCTTTACATTTTTTTTGTAAGTGGCTTCAATAGCTCTTCCCAGTCCTCTGCAGTTTTTTCAGTTCATTCCTGTTCCTTTACATTTTTTTTGTAAGTGGCTGTAAGCAACTTGCAGGGAAAAGAAGATTTATGAATAAGACCAGATTCAGTTTTATTTTGGAACGGACTTTAAAAAATGGCCTTCATGCCTAACCTAAGGCTGGAAAAATTGCACAAGCTTCAAGACGTGCAGGGCTGTAGAGGCCTCTGGGGACTCTCCCCCGTGCAAGGGGGAAAAGTTCTCCAAAATCAGTGTTGCTTGAATGAGCAGGACTGTTTGTTACTGCAAACGTCCTTCTAACTACATAAACCCTTCCAACTACTTGAAGAGGAGAGGCTTCTTTTTTGCTCCTGTGCCCTGTGACTTTTAGCTCCTTTCAGGTTGTAATTATGTGGTGCCATTACTGTGAAGGGAGTCAGCATAAAATATACCACTACTCTGCATAAATCTTGGGACATCGATGAATTTTTGAGTTTTTGTTGCAGTTGGTGCTCCTAGTTTAGAAGATAACACTTTTGAATACTTGATTATAGTTAATGGGTGGAAAGGAAAAGCCTTTTTATTAAGGCTTTTTCTTAAATGACTCTCACAAGTGTTTTTCTAATCACAGTATACTAAATATCAGGGATTAGATCCAAGCAAAGGAACAGTGGGTAATACAGAAGTTTCCGTTTCTCAGCCTTTTGGGCAGGTGCAGTTCTCCAAGTACTTGCTCCAATACCCGTCAGTGTGGATTGTGCTCCAGCTAAATGACTGTAAGTGCTTGCTCCAATCCATCCAGTGTGGATTGTGCTCCAGCTAAATGACTGCTCAAATGTTTTGGAGGGTTTTGTTTAATAGATATGCTCTTCATTCTACAGTATTTAAAGAAAATAATCCCTTCAGACTCCTTTCCTTCGTGCCTCTGAGCAATCTTTGTGAGCAGAGGGGGTAGGAGTGAAGTTACCAAGATGAGTTATGTTTGTGGTGAACCAGCTCTGCAACAGTTCCAAGTTCAGTCTGTCCAGTAACATGTTTTTCTTATCCACTGGTAATAAGTCTTCTGGTTCACATAAGAGACTTGTATCTGGAATATGAGAAGTCATACACTGCCTACTGGATATAACCAGGATATTTTAAGAATCTGTAGGAGTTACTTGTTAGTTGTAGCCAAGCGCGCATCAGCTACAAGAATTATTCTGCCTCAGAAGATAAAAGCCTCTTGTTTCTTTAAGAATTCATAGATAGTGGATGTTTTACTGCGTATGAAGGCAATGACCCAGACTGCATCAATCTGTTCAGAACCTCAGGGCCAATTTAAAACTGTTTTTATTAGAGATTACAAAGTTGATTATGTGACAACAAAATTAAGTGGAACAAAATGGAACAAAGGGAACAAAAACTTTTTATTGGGAGAAGGGTTAAGGGAACAGAGTGCAATTTGTAAGGAAATAGGTTGTGATCCAGTTTTATTTTCAAATGAAGTATTTTGGAGTCAAATATACATATTTTTATAAATTGAATTCAAGTTTTATATTGTTAATTTTGTGCACGTTTAATTAAAAATACTTCCTTAAAAACAAAAGACGTGGAACTGGTTTTTAATGCTATGGGATTGCTGTCTATGATGATCTGCCATGGGGAGCAGATAAATGTTAAGGACGGTTTTAAAGCAAGGAGTGGCACTAAATGGGCATTATGTTACCAATGTCCTTCTTGGAACATTAAAAAAAAAAAAAAAAAGGAAAAAAGCTTTGTTATTGAATTTCTCAGAAGTGCTAAAAAGACTGTAGTTTCCCTGGCAGGAACAGCATTTGAAGGCTGTCACTCAGGTAAGTGCAAGAGGAAAAAAATCTCTGCGAGCCCTCAGGATCCTAAAATTGAGTGGCAGCACATCCATGGGATGGAGGCCTTCTGTGAGTAAGTGCCTTACAGTTGTTTTCTCTGCCAGTCACGCTGTGGTGAGGATGTTGTAGTTGGTTTATAATTAATTAAAAACACAGCTTATAGCGTGTTCTACACCTGTTCAGGCTTTTTAAAGATGTGTTCAGAAGTTAAATTGATAGAGGCTGGTTTATAATTAATGAAAAACACAGCTTATAGCGTATTCTACACCTGTTCAGGCTTTTTAGAAGATGTGTTCAGAAGTTAAATTGATAGAGGTTTCAGCGTTGTGTGAAGCATATACTGGCATTGAAGTGTTGGTGCACACTTAAAGCTTTACATGCATAAGACAAGTAACTTAATTACCCATTTAATCAAATTCTCTAGCATACTCTGCAAGAGTACCTGCCTGTGAGGAATTAGTAAAACCTTTTCCTTTTGGTCTCTTGAGAGCTCGTTTCCTTACAGCCTTGAGAAAACAACACCCCAAAACATGCTGAGAATCAGAAGTGTCAGCTCAGTTTACTGAGAGAATTCTCAGTTTTGGAGGATTTTTTTTCCATGTCGCTTCAAGGTCCCTTTCAGTACTTGCAGCCATTTCCTGTGATTTTAGAAGTTATCAATTATATATTGCATATTAAGTTGGGTGGGGTTTTTAAAAACTACATTAGTTTCATTACGCAGTTAAAAGAAATTTTCTAGATTTTTGATTAAAATTCCCAATTATATATTGCATATTAAGTTGGGTGGGGGGGTTTAAAAATTACATTAGTTTCATTACGGAGTTAAGAGAAATTTTCTAGATTTTTGATTAAAATTCCTTTATACAAATCAGTTGCCATGAACATTTCAAATGTAATGCTTTGCTTTCCTTCTTCCTTCATGCCCCAAACACAGCTGTATTTCCTCCAGCCTTTGTTTCAGTCCCTACGCAATTGGCTACTTTATGAAATCTAATTGTTTCATTTAATTGTCTAAGGCAAAAAGCTTAGTAACCCACGCTGTATCTCCGAGCTCTCTCTGGCACTCAGCACGTTCTTAATTCATGCTTTTTGATTATTTTTCAATTTAATTTTATTTCTAATCACTGTTTCTTCCACAATTATGGGGGTTTGTGCTATTCTTTCTGTGTATTCTTTCTGATCTTTCTGATCTTTCATGTATCATGTATGTTCTTAAAATGTGTTCCACTGTGGAAAATGGGGGTTTTTTTAAGTTGTTTTTCCTTTTTGATTTATTACTTCTTTGATCACGTATGTCCTTAAAATGTCTTCCAGCGTGGAAAACAGGGGTTTTTAAGTTGTTTTTCCTTTTTGATTTATTACTTCTTTCTTCTGCCAATGTTTTTATTGCACTGGTAGAATTACAGAAACTAGTTCACAGTTTCAACTGTATCAAAATAGGAATTGTGGGGGTGAGATGAGGGGTAGGGGAAGGATTTTTGAGTAAAGGTTCAAGAACTTTGGAAGGATCTATCTTTGTCTTCGTAAAAAAAGTCCGTCGCTGAGGATTGCTTAACATGAAGAGGGTGTGTGGCAACGGGTTCTGGGAATGGTAGGTTTGGAGAAAACCAAGCACAGCTTTAGGCAGCTGCCAGGAAAGCACAGATTAATGCAGGCTCCTGCCTGGGAATCTGCATGGAATAAACTTCGAGGCACTCGTCATGATTAAAGAGGCATCAGTTTCATCCGCAGAGCTATTTCTGTTCCCGTTTCGATTCTTGAGAGCATTACGCATGCATTTCTTAAAGCAGACTAAAAATAAAATAATGTAGATTTATTCTCGTAAAATTTGATGTAATATATGGTATTAAAATATCTGAAGTTGATAATACTGATTGAGTTTAAATTCAGTTGAAAGCTTTGTCATCATTTTCCGAATATGCCACGTGTACAGTTGGTTTTGTGGATGGTAACGTAGCTTTCCTTTCTTTCAGCTTGGGGTTTAGTGTCTCAAAAACCAGGGTAATTCTGTGTTTCTGGCAGGTCCCAGGATTTAGGACAGCTTTCAAAGTAACCAGCCATTGTAGCTACATTAAAGTTTTTGTATCTATTCTCTAAGATTCTGAAGAGATAGGTATATAAAAAATAACATCTATAAAAGAGGTTTTGAGGATTACATTTCCAATACAATGGGTTTTTGTATCTATTCTCTAAGACACTGAAGAGATATGTATATAAAAAATAACATCTATGAAAGGTTTTGAGGATTACATTTCCAATACAATGTAGTAAGTGCCTTTGCTCAGGAAAACAGCTTCATGTCAACTTTTTATGTCTAATGTTTCAAAAAGCTATCAACCTGGCATTTTGATTCACTTCATAGTGTTCAAGACCAGGTTGTTGTGCTCTGTGAAGCTACACAGAGATAAAATTGGAGCCTTGTCATCAGAGATGTAAAAAACATCCAACTGGGATTTTCTGTGGTTGACGTTTTAATTACAGGTGAGTCTGGTTTTATATTGCTTTTTTTTTTTTACATAAAGCAATAATCTTGCAATTAAAATGTTGACAATTTTGATAACGTTCCTTTCTTTTCCTCGTCTTAATTCTGCTATTTCTATTGATGCCAGCAGGACTATTAACTTCAGAAAATAATTTTCAGAATATAACAAGTGAGAACTTCTTATTGGAGTCTAAATTCTAAAAGGGGTTTTAACAGCTATTCTGCAAGTGTATGTGCTACCTGTGGCAAAGGTTTGTCCAAAGGGATGTCTGAAGACTGCGTTTCTGTACAAAAGTTAAGAGATTTTTGTGTTCAAAGCTGGTACCAGATTTTATGTACAGTGAACATATAAACTCTGAGGTTTGGTTTAAAAATTAAGATACAAAACTTTCCTTGTCATTAATGTCTTGAGGTTTTGAGTATTTACAGGCTTTTCACTTTAGAGTTCTACTCAAAATTAGCTCTTCTTTTTAGCATTCTATTTCAGAATTTGTACTATTTGTTTTTAAAATAACATTTTATTTAAGAAATAGGTTTCCATATGTGTTAAATAAAAAAGAAGTAACTATAGGAATAATTGACCTAAATGCTTAATTTTTTTTCCCCA